CCTTTTTTCCTCTTCTGCAGACTATATAAAAAAAGTTGTTTTTTTTGGTCTAATGTCACTTTGATGCAGCGAAAATTCGTCCACAAACGAAAATACCGCTATTATAGTGGCTGTATAGTGAGTGGTCCATGGCAGGTTAAAAAGCTGTTCAGCAGAGGTGAAAGACCAGCAAAAGCTGGAGCTCAAGGGCATGCTGGGAGCTTAGTACTGCACAAGAAAAAATAACCATTAGTTTTAAATCATCTGTAAAAAGTCAGCAATCAAACTCATAATTGTACTATAGTGCTTAAGTTGACATGCATTACGAAGAGGCAGAAACAACAAAATGCACTAGAGTATCGCATGTGCAAACTAGAAAAGATTAAAAGTAAGCAAAATATTTTAAAACACCCACACCATAAAACACCTTTGGAATCTTTATGTAGATTAAGCAGTGATCTAATATTTTTTGTGACAAGTATGGATGATGCAGTCATTCACCTCGGCTCTGTTGTCTGTTGACAATGCCTCCCAGCGTCCAACGCCGGTCCAATCGCCGTAGATGAGCTTTTCGTCTCTTAGTTACTAACAGAGGAGATGAATGGAAACATGAGGGGACAAACAAAAGAAAAACATGATAGGAGTATGTGAATAATAAAAAATAAAAAATTACATGAAAAATGGTAAATATGGCAATATTAGTGACAGGTTAAAACATGAGAGTTGTATTTTCACACTGGTTTAGGGTGATGAACAGATGGTTAAGAGGAACGGAGATCCTGGCTATGCAGAAAGAACATTCCAAACATTATTTGACAACAGCACATGTGTTTTTCAGAAATACATGGCCTGAGATGGTATATGAATGATATTACATTTAAGCACATCTTTGGTTCACAAGTAAAACACATCATGCATGATGTGCACAAAATGTAACACTAAATTTCTGCTGAGTTAAAAGCATCATGAGGATAAGACCTACAAAGTATGTGACAAGGGACCAAAAGAAAATTGTTATGCCTTTACTGTTCAGCAAAATATTTAATAGTATTCTGAAGAAGGAAAATACCCATCTCATCTGCCTCTAATGGGAGTTGCTATTCACCAACTCCTGGGTTGCATACAACTACCAGGACAGAAAATCTAAAGTTAATTGCTTGAAAATGAAATGAATGTCCTTGAGCTTAAAAGCAAACTACGGGTGACCGTCATCTCATGTCTATGGGTACCTTTACATTAAGTAAAACTGAGAAGCTGCATTGAGGCAATTCTGCCAATCTAGAAAGCATTAGGCAGGGCTATATATGGCCAGCTGCGGACTGATAAACTACAGGCTAGTGAAATAGCAGTGACAAAGCCAATGCCAGACTCTCTGCAACATCATCTTATCCCACTGTAGTGAAATGCAGGTATCACCTACATTAGGCTGACAATGCTTCTTGAGGAACAGTGCAGCAGCATTGCAACCCCATCACCAGAAGCTGCATAATGTGGACTTTACAAATATACTTTAATCAGATCAACAGGTATTTAAAAGATTTGCTGCAAACAAATTGCTTTTTGATTAGAGTCCATGGAGTCCATAGATCTACTTTAGAGCCACCAAAAATGTATTTGCACAAAAAAAAAAACCTAACTATAGATATAACTATAGCTATAGTTAGTAGTTTGTAACTTTTAAGCCTGTTAAAAATTCAGATACCTAATCAAACCTTCAAAGTGCCTACATGACACTCAGCTAAAGCCCTCCAGGACCATATAATCCTTTTCTTAGCATTAATATTTTTCTAATGTAGCTTTTGAAAGTTCAACCATACAGGAAACTAATTGCATGATATACAGGTGAAACTCGAATAATTGGAATATCGTGCAAAGTTCATTTATTTCACTAATGCAACTTAAAAGGTGAAACTAATATATGAGATAGACTCATTACATGCAAAGCAAGATAATTCAAGCCGTGATTTGTCATAATTGTGATGATTATGGCTTACAGCTCATGAAAACCCCAAGAACCCCAAATCCACAACCTCAAAAAAGTAGATTACATGCAATCAATAAAACAAGGATTGTACATAGAACAATATCGGACCTCTGAAAAGTACAAGCATGCATATGTACTAAGTACTTGGTTTCGGCCCCTTTTGCAGCACTTACTGCAATTACTTTTGCACGATATTCTAATTATTCGAGTTTCACCTGTAAGCCTTTGGCCGCAGCAACATTTTCATGATTTTGGTCTGTCAATACATTTATTCAACAAATGAGGTTTTTTTTTTGAAGAAAATATCCACTTTATAGTAGTTGCATTATACACTTCCCTTTCACATCTGTATCAATACTGAGTGCACCCAGGGCCAGATTCCGCACAAGGCCACTGAGGCCTGGCCTCGGGGCGGCAGCGATGTGGAATCCCCTGATGCCCGGTACATGCAGTTCCAGGCGCCGGGCAGTAAGTTGTTTTCTACATGTAGTCCTTTTTTCGAAAATCGTTTCCCCCTCCATTCCCCCCGCACCAACCTCTCTCCGCCGACGAGTCTCTCACTGGTCCCTCACTGGCCGCCGATGCGGTGAGCAGAGCGGCAGGGTTAAAACTAACCCTGCCGCTCCGGGTATACAGCGAGAGGGGAAGCCGTCTTCCCCTCTCTGCTGTCACAGCAGTTCCAGCACAGTGCTGTGCTAGAACTCCTGTCCTGGAGGTGACTGGGTCAATAAAGAGAACCTGTCACCTCCAAATGCTATCACACAGGGGCTTGTTAGCTCCTGTGTGATAGCAATAAAGCTAAGTGAAAAAAAATAATTGATAAAAAAATAATTAAATATTTCCGCCGCCGAGTCTCTCACTGGCCTCTCACTGGTCCCTCACTGGCCGCCGATGCGGTGAGCAGAGCGGCAGGGTTAAAACTACCCCTGCCGCTCCGTGTACACAGTGAGAGGGGAGAGCTGTCTTTCCCTCTGCTGTTACAGGAGTTCAAGCACAGTGCTGTGCTAGAACTCCAGTTCTGGGGGTGACAGGTTCAATAAAAAGAACCTGTCACCTCCAAATGCTATCACACAGGGGCTTGTTAGCTCCTGTGTGATAGCAATAAAGTTAAGTGGAAAATACAATAATAAGAAAACAATTATTAGAAAATAATTATAAAAAAATAAACAATAAGATAAAAAATGATAAAAAAAGTAAACGATAAGATTAAAAAAAAGTGATAATAAAATAAAAAAAACACAATATGAAAAATTAAACTAACCCTGCCACCCGTCATTCTCCATTGATTTGGGGGGGGGCGGTTGGCGAGCGCATTGTGGAACCTGGCCTTGGGGCATCAGGGAGAGTAAATCCGGCCCTGAGTGCACCTGTGTATGGTGGGGGTCTTAGACAGAGATAAATTAATTACTGGCCTCCAACATGTATTTAAAGCTAGCTCCTACCCTCTTCCCTGCACTATATGATTATAAAAGAGCAGTCTACCCAAAACGATTACTTCAGATACTAAACCATTACACAATAAATGTTGATAGGCTGTGGGGTTGTGTCTGAGATGCTTATGAGATCATTCAGAATTCACTGATAGGTAAATATGCCTCCAGTTTACCTTTTTCTGACCTGCATTTCATCTGATTCAAGTGGGTTTGGCACACCCATAGATTTTTACAAGAATGCATAACCGTTTAAGAACAACCGAACAAAAGCCCGCCATCACAGGCCCTAACGATTGCTTTTCTTTGTGTGACCTCTCTAACTGAGGTTTGCAAATCTGCATACCCTTCTGCAAGCAAGGGGGTCTTGTTTTTGCTGTAGCACTGAAAAAATGAATCTTATATAAAGGAGAATGCAACATTAGTAGAACAGAAGGGATGAAACTTTAAGGTGTACAGAAAGAGAGGTAAAATATGGTGGGATATTTTAATGCTGGAGTAAAAAGAACCGATAGTTGACTAAGACTAGCAGACTCCACCAACATTCAACCAAAATTTCAATTGTGGGCAGGCTTTAAGGTAGATGGGTCAACCTCACATGATACAAAGCCCTGGTCTACTATAGTGCTTTGGGAATAAACACTAAACATAGAATATTATAAACATTAATTTTTAAGTCTTCAACACTTGATTTGTTTCGTATTAGATTACCCTAACTTTTAAAACTTTAGACCTCCAAAGTGTGCACAAAATTTTTCTGACTTACAGGCAAAATTATTTATCAAAGCCAGGTGATAGGATGGTCTAACACTATCTGCCTGCCTCTTGTTCCCCCAAACTGTCACAGACAAAGACTTGCGACTGCTTCTCCTTTTATGCATGTAGAAGGGAGAAGATGAGCAGAGTTGGCGGGCACTGCATATTCATTTAGGACAGGTTTACTAATTAGTCTGATTGATTAGAGGCCACCACCTAAAACTGGTAGAAAAAATAAAATAAAAAACAAGGGGCGAGGGTGTTCTTCTCAGTTTGCGCGGTTAGGGTCTGGAACTCGCTGCCACAAGCAGTGATTTCCGCAAATAGTCTGGAATCATTCAAGAAGCTTTTGGACGATTTCCTGAGAGACCATAATGTACAAGGGTACAGGTACTCTTAAGAATGAGATGACTCAGGGACCTATACACACACACACACACACAATAGGTTGGACTTGAGGGACTTATGTCTTTATTCAACCTCAAATACTATGGGGTCTTTTCACGAAGCTGCCGAAGGATCTGGCCGTAGCTTCGGCCGATCCTTCGGCTAGCTTCGGCCCCAGGACCCCTTCGGTTCAGTAGAACCGAAGGGGTGCTGTACGGGCTATTCACAATAGCCCGTACAGCTCCCGATCATGGCCGAGCGGCTCAGCTGAGCCGAACGCATATGCATCAGCTCGGCTGAGCTGAAAGCCGAAACTGGCCGAGCGGCCGGCCGCTCAGCCTGCTTCTGACAGCTGGGCGGAGCCAGCCGTGATCTTACGGCTGGCTCCGGCCACTTTCAGAGAGATCAGCGTCCCTGGTTAACTGCTAACCAGGGACACTGATCTCCAAACAGCAAACTCTCCCTGGC